GGCTGGGAGCTCTCTCCCCTCTTCCTCTCTCCCTGCCCTGTCCCCAACGCCGCCCCTCCTGTTCCCTTTCCATGTGATAATCTAAAAGGCCACAGGATTCTTGACAGCATGAAGGCTATCCACCAGATAATGCCCACAGACCTTAGACCTCAGGACTGTAAGCCAAAATAAACCTCTATTCTAAACAAACAAACAAACAAAAAAAAAAAAAGCACACTTCCAGTATTACCTGTTAGCAAGTACAAATGGAATAACAAAAACAGCTTATTCCACTATGACATATAACCATAAAATTCATTCAGATGATCTTGATGAGTATTAGGCTGCAAACCCCATTCAATAGTAGCTGCATCATTCTGTACATTTAATGAAATCACTGAGTTGTACTGAAATTGTTAGTATCATCAAGAACTGTGAGTATGAGTATCTTCTGAAAACAGGAGGTATTTTCTCAGTCTTTCAACATCGCTGAGATGTAGTCAAACTAGTCAATACTAAACAGTACTTGTGTAGTAATCAAAGACCTGGTGGAAATTCAAAAAGAATAAATCCAATTTTGCTTACCTATATTTACTATTAAATTAAGAACAAAAACTAAAAGACCCCTACACACTGTTAAAAGTAGTCAATGTCATTTAAAATGTCTATTAAACATCCTTATTTGTGAGCACATGACCACTAAGATTGACCTCACAGTCCTGAAGTACAGGGAGCACTCCAGAGCCTCCTCTAGCAAGCATTCCACCCACCATGCAATAAAAGTTCAATGTCAGAGCTGGAGAGATGGCTCAGTGGTTAAGAGCACTTGCTGCTCATGCAGAGTACCTGGGTTCAATTACCAGCACCCATGTGGTGGCTCCCATCCATCTGTAACTCCAGTTTCATGGACTCTGACACCCTCTTCGGACCCCTGAGGGCACCAGGCACATACATGGTGCACACGAACACATTCGGGCAAAATATTCATACACATAAAATAAATCTTAAAGACAAATTTCAGTTCAGTGTTGTTTCCTCTGAGAATGTAAGGGATTCCTTTCAGGCAGAACCAGTGTAAACTAAAATAAAACCAGCAGTTCAAAGAAAAGAGTCAGACAGAAGAAGAGGAGGGTGCTGGCACACGGGTGGTTGGAGCAGGGAGAGGGCTAGAGTATGAGATACTCTGAGTGTTTAAGGAGAATAAAACACATTTCTTGGGCTGACTTAGATGTGGAGTAAAATAACCAAGCATGTCCATAGAGCCCATTCGCAAGCTGCCCAATTAATTTCTGTTTCATGTTACCCAATTTACCACCCCAATTTCTCTTCTTGAACAAAGCTTGTGGCACCAGACAACACAACGAATTTCATAAAAACCATGAGTTTGTGTGTTACCAATTTATTCCAACTCTACTATGGCTGATTTATTGTGCACTTACAAAACCCTTGTAGATGATGAATGTCACATGCTCATATTACTAGAGAAAGAGAAAATAAACAAAACTGTGATAAATATTTCACCTTCTTTCATTTAAAAAAAGACCACACAGTGAAAATATAAACCACAAAGCAAATGTTTTATCATTCCCAGTAGGATATTTACATCCATCCCTGTTTGACAGCAATTCTCAACCAGAAACATCAGTGCCATCCATCTCTGAGCCGACAGCTATCAAGAGTTACATATGACTGTGGAATCAAGGAGAGCATCTCCTTCAGTTAGAGAATACACCTAACTTTCTGAAACTCATTAAAAAGACCACTCCCACTAAACATGCCCTCAGGTGCTTAGACTCTTGTATGCTGAGATTACAGGCATGTACCACCATTCCTGGGTTGGTAATTAACGAGAATGTTTAACTAACCGGAGAGTAGATTTTAAAAAGAATATATGTCACCATACATGGTCTACAAAGCTCTACATGATTCGGCACTCAGCATTATTCTTTGACAGATAATTAATCTACCTGTCAACTGGCTCCTTCCAAACTGGCCTTCCTGCTATTCCTAGGCAGCACAAAGGACATTACCAAGTCAGAGCTAGTTATTCTGTCTGCATGGAAGCCTCATATCCTAGCTATCCAGAAACAACTACCCTTCCTTCTTGTCAGTCTTTGGGGAGGTGTCACTTTTTCAGTGGGGGTAACCTAGACATGTTTTGTTTTTACATAGGCATATCCCACAGCATGGGTGTAGATATCAGAGGACAGTTTATAGAAGCCAATTATCTCTTTCCACCCTGTGAGTGAACTCAAGTCATCAGGTTTCATGACAAGCTCCTTGGTCTGCCCAGAGAGTTCACCAGCTGGACACTCTAAACTATCATCTGTTCCTTACTCTCCATCTCTGGTAACTTTCTTTTCAGGAGTACTTATCAGCTCCTCACATACTTTATGGCCTTTATTTGTTGCCCATGGTCCCCTCTACAGTAAGTTACGTAAGGTCTAGCAGAGGGCACAGAGGGTAGAAATCAACGTTCACTGGGAAAAATGAAAACGTACTACCGCAACACTATGAACATTCTAGTCACACCTGCAGCTAGCACATTCATGACCAAACTATGATGGGAGCAGTAAAGGAGAACAGCAAAGCATTGCACATACCTAGCAGAATGAGTAAGAAAAATAAATACCTCTGTCCACAAAGACAAGTCAATATATAATGTATGAAATTAGAAACAAAGCAGTAACAATGTGAGCATTTTACTTCAATCTTGAAGATGAAGAATCAACTAACAGCTGAAAGTATCTACTTGTGGAAAGCAAGAATTTGGAGCAAGGGATTTTTTAAAACTACTTAACACTTGAAATTATATCCAAACATCATTCATAAAAATAAAATGTAAAAGAAAGAAAAGAACTATAACGGTAAGTGCCATCTTGGGAAGTATTCACCATGCATCTCACACATCCAGAATTAATATGTAGATTATACAGATTATACAAAATGTCAGGACCAAAGTACCTAATAAAATAAACCCTATGATAAGCATTTCATAGTGAATAAGCACTGAATAGCCAATTAACATACAAAGAGCTGTTCAACATCATTAGAAGACAAAGAAATGCAAATTAAAACTAGAATGGGATATTTTTTGTTCCGTTATTGGGTTTTTGCAGAGCTGAGGATGAACCCAGGACCATGCACATGTACCCCTGAGCTGCACCTGTTCCATCCCAGAGATAATTCTTTCACAACAGGCATTCAATCTGATAGTAAACCCACCACCAAGAGTACAAACTACCAAGGCTACTTTCATGGCTCTCCACAAATTGACGGTAAGGCCCCATTGCTGAAGAAAACCTCTACATAACTCATTGGAAACGGAGCTGGTGCCTACCTAGAGCCTTCATCCTTTGGACTAGTGTTTTTGGTACTGCAAGTTACTCTACACACTTCCAAAGGGGAAAGGTAAAAATCCTTTGCCCTACACAAGTGACCTGCCTGCAAGATACACCAGTGCAGTAGTGGCACAGAGCTTGTGGGAGTAACCAACCAGTATCTAATTGGATTTAAGGCCTGTTCCATGAGATATGACCCATCCCCAACACTGCTCGGGTGGCCAAGAACCTGAGACTAGATAACCCAGGGACCTGGGGGAAACCCAAATACTACTGTGCTACTAAAAAAACATAGCAATAAAATGACTCCTAATGACATTCAGTGCCTTACTCAGTCATCATCTGCTGTGGGATGGTCTGTATGTGCTCTGATTGGTCAATAAATAAAACAGTGATTGGCCAGTGGCCAGGCAGGAAGTATAGGCGGGACTAACAGAGAGGAGAACTGAGAGAACAGGAAGGAGGGGGGAGACACTGCCAGCCGCCGCCATGACAAGCAACATGTGAAGATGCTGGTAAGCCACGAGCCACGTGGCAAGGTATAGATTTATAGAAATAGATTAATTTAAGATGTAAGAACTAGATAGCTAGAAGCCTGAGCCATTAGGCTAAACAGTTTAAATAATATAAGTGTCTGTGTGTTTATTTTATAAGTGGGCTGTTGGACTACCAGAGTTTGGCGGGACGGGAGAGGAAACTCCAGCTACAATCATCAGAGAAGCTTCTTCCTGCAGCAAATGGAAACAAATGCAGAGAACCATAACCAAACAAGATGCAGAGAGTGAGAGACCTTGGAACACTCAGTCCTAAATATGATGTGTCCATCAAATCCCTCCCCTCAAGGGTTCAGGGAACCCTTCGAAAGAGGAGGCAGAAAGTGTAAGAGTCAGAGGGGATGGAGAAAACCAAGAAAACAAGGCCCTCTAAATCAACAAAATGGATGCACATACGAACTCACAGAGACTGAGAGAGACAGCATGCATAGGGCCTACACAGGTGTGCACCAGATGGGCTCCTAGAGCTGAAAGGAGAAGTGACACACACACACACACACACACACACACACACACACACACACACTCTCTCTCTCTCTCTCTCTCTCTCTCTCTCTCACATCCCTAAGCCAGAATCTATCTCCAATTGAAAACCACTTGCAAATAGAAAACCAGTTTCCTCCAAGGAAGTCTCACTGGAGAAACAAACCACTCTTAGGGGTAGGCCACATGCCCAGTAGTAGATGGCCAACACAAAACAAACTCAGTGGCATCTTTGGGGGCTCTCTGTCTCAGAGCGTTAAGTCAGGACAAGTCCTTTGTTTATGGATTTTGTCTTCTGGTCTTGTGTTTTTATGGGATTCCTGTGTGTGCAAACACGCGCCTCTGCATCTGTGTGCATCTCTTGTGCTTTTTCTTTGGCTGTTTTTCTTGTTTGATTGTTTTGTCCTCTTTCAATTGGTTTGTCTTTGCTTCATCTTACTGTATTGCACTTTATTTTATTATTATTCTTTAGATGCCTCCTGTTTCCTAATGAAGAGACAGAAAGGGTGTGAACTGAGATGGGAGGGGAGATGGAGAGGAACTGAAACAGGAGGAGGGGAAAACAACATTGTATGAAAAAAATCTATTTTCAATAAAAGGGGAAAAGTCCTGCCACTGGACCATGGAGACGGTGGCCCAGTAGAGACCTTAGTTCGAGACTTGAGGGGTGGTGGACATGGAGGCTGTACTGAACGAGCTGGTGTCTGGGGAGGATCTGAAGAATTTTGAAAGGAAATTTCAGTCTGAGCAGGCAGCTGGCTCTGTTTCCAAAAGCACACAGTTTGAGTATGCCTGGTGCCTGGTGCGAAGCAAATACAATGACGACATCCGTAAAGGCATCTTGCTCCTAGAGGAGCTGTTGCCCAAAGGGAGCAAAGAGGAACAGTGGGATTATGTCTTCTACCTGGCAGTGGGCAACTACCGTCTCAAGGAATATGAAAAAGCTTTAAAGTATGTACGAGGACTGCTGCAGACTGAGCCCCAGAACAACCAGGCCAAGGAGCTGGAACGCCTCATTGACAAGGCCATGAAGAAAGATGGACTAGGAGGCATGGCCATTGTTGGTGGCATGGCCCTGGGTGTGGCGGGACTGGCTGGGGTCATTGGACTAGCTGTCTCAAAGTCCAAATCCTGAAGACAGCCTTATCTGCTCTCTGCCCTGGCACACCTGGGAGCCTGGGGACATTGGAAGAGGGTCCTGCCCATCCTCACCATGGCCTTCCCTTGTCTTCCCCAACCCTTGTCATCCACCTCCACAGTCTCCTCAGTGACCTACAACCTCCCATCCCCGACACCTGTTGTTAGCCCTGAGTCATGCTTTGCGATGAGTGTAAATATAAAATTGGGCTGTGGCTTGGGAAAATAAATAAATAAATAGATAGATAGATAGATAGATAGATAGATAGATAGATAGATAGATAAATAAATAAATAAATAAATAAATAAATAAATAAATAAATAAATAAATAAATAAATAAATGGGGAAGAAAGCATAGTGACAACAAAAACTGTGAAATAACAGGAAGGCTTGCACAATGATGGTAAATTGGTGAAACTACTGTGAAAAAATGGTGACATTATCTGATAAACTTGGAGACGTTCCTTCCCAACAGTTCAGCCAGTCAAGTCCCGGTTCTGCAGCCTGCAGATACTCCTGCACATATGTGCCAGAGTAACAAACAATGACTGTTAGCATAATACAACTTTACAACTTTTAAAACACCCTGAAAAAAAAATCAATTTTCATCTACAGGAGAATGAATAAACATGCTGCACAGTATTGAAAAAATGAAAAAGCCTACTAGTAGTTAAAAAATAAATGAACTAGAGCAATATAAATCAAACATCAAGTCAGAGAGCAAGATCTGCGTATGTTCTGTGTGATTTCATTCACATAAAATGAAAACAAGACAGGTAAATATAAGGAAGTGATAACACTGTGAAGAAGGAAAGGGAATAATATTTACAGCTAAAGGTAGTGTTTTCTCTCTGACAAGACAATGGAGTCATGAACGTGTGTGGGTGTGTGGGTGTCTGTGTCTGTGTGTGATTGTGTGGGTGTCTGTGTCTATATGTCTGTGTGTCTGTCTGTGTATCTGTATCTGTGTGTCTGTGTATCCATGACCATATGTATGCAAGTTCTTCGGCCATATAAACATTTCATCCAATTCTGAACACAAAGCTACAGACTTACCTGGACTGGCATGCAAAGGTTGTACACACTCTTAGTCAGAGACTCAAGCATATGACAGAGTGTTTAGGACTCACCAGTAGACACAGACTAAATTCAAAATTCAGAACTCATGTTTTGTTCATCTGACTCAAAATCTGATACTCTTTCCATTTAGAGAACCAGACAGGGAACTTGGCCAACTCACAAAATACATGTCAACTTCAGTCTCAAGTAACAAAGAGGAAAAGTCACCAAAAGTAGACATTCACAGTTCCTAGTAAACCTCAGTGGAGGTGGTAGGTAAAGAATGAAGCAGAGAAACTATGAAGAACAGGGTAGAAGTATTGAGAGGAACCCTGCAAACAACGAGCTGTCAGTCTGACTCTGTGATGGAGGGGTGATGTCTACTGAGACCCTTTCGTAGGAAGGCACTGCATACATGGTCCTTCCTCAGTCCTCCAAATAGCACTGAGACACGTATTACGTACAGAGAGGAAGACGGTCTAGAAGGCTAATAGGACAGGATAAATTTCTCAATGAAATTTCCAGTGTCTTATCTGGCTCAGAGAAGTTCACTGAGCCAGACCAGAGGCAGAAGGATCAGAGTATGAGTGCAGTATTACAGACAGTGAACACAATTACACACAGGAGCACAGAATGAAGATGCCAAGATTTGTGTAAGCACCTAACAGTCCAGTAAATATGAGAACAAAGAACTGCTCACCTATGGCCAGGGTGGTAAACAGCGGTATTTATTCCATGAGGATAATGACCACTAAAGCTGAAACTGTGACTCTCTTGGTAGCTCTGATTTGTTCCAACACTAGGATAAAGAAAACAAAACAGAAATAAGTAGCAGCAAAGCACCTCGGACACCATGGACACCTCAGACATCAAGGGCACCATGGGCACCATGGGCACCATGGACACTGCAGCAGCTAGTCTTTAGGGACAGATAACACCAGATACTGTGGAGGATGTAAAACAACCAGACACACTACAGTGGGAGATGACTGATACGACCACACTGTTAAAGTCTGAAAGCTCATATAAAAATAAATGACATGACCCTATGATCCAGCAATCCCACTGGAAGATAATGACCTAGGAGGAATTAAAATGTTTATCCATAAAGACTTATGCAAGAATAGTCATAGTACAATCTATGCCATGGTCAAGAACGGTCCAATTTGCCACAGCCCCAAACTGGAAAGTCTATCTACAAAGGAATGAATAAACAAACCATGAGATATCTGTGTATCTATATGTAAATATATTTATATAACTCATGAAAGATAAATCATTGGTTAAAAAAAAGGAATAAGGTAATGATATACAAAAATTTGATGAATTTCAAAATAAGCTGAATGAATGAGATTTGGGCAAAAGATTGTATATTATATGATTTCATTGATGTGAACTGTTTCAATGGGCAAAACTAATTTGCGATTAAAAATAAAATTTTTGAGAATGGCAGTTGTCATGGGTAGATGTGGAAGAGGGAGGGAGGAGAGAGGGAGGAGGGAGGGAGAAAGGAGCTCTCGAGTATGGTGACAATGTGCTATTTCTTGACAGAAGTCTGAGTGGTACAAATCAGTGCACCTATCACTCATAGGCAGCTACAATTAGGACGTGTGCATCCCACTATATGCACCTTTCATCTCCAAAAACAACTATGAGCAAATAGTACGCATTCTTAATAATATGCATTCTCAAGCATTTGGTGTTTCCAACTCACTATGAAACACAAGAAACAAATGTGTGAGTATTCACTATACAAGTCTTTCAAAGTGTCTAATGTGTTTGCAATTTTTCATAGTATGATAAAATTTTTCATAGTATAAAATATCAATACCTGACATTAAATCAGAAAAATAAACATTATATCAAAATGACTTCCAATGCATTTTTACCTGACAAGGTAACTTCTAAGTTCTCCTCGGTAATTGATGACCAAGAGCTCTGCAGACCACTGTGCACTTGCTTTGTATTCTAAAAATACCAACCCAGCAATGGCATAGCTCAAGTCACCAGCAAAGCTAGACACCTGAAAACAGGAGGAAATTAAGTTACTATAGAGATAGCAGAAAAATTAGCACATGCCTAACTAGACAACATCCCAGACATTGGCTGTGACACCAAGCTTAGACCAGGGTCCTAACCAGTTAGGAGCCATAGCAGGCTCCTTGAAATACTCAACTTAAAAAGCACATTTCTATTCAAATTCTCTGTAAAATAAAGAAGAAAAAAGAAAAGCAGGAGATGCCACCATTCAGCCTCTTTCAAGACATAAGTTTTCAAGTATTAATTAAGTATTAAGTCGATGTGAAAAAGACTTCAGGTACCTTCTCAGCAACTCAAAGGGGAAGATGCAACACTCAAGTCAGCCTTTTCATCAAGCAACTATCTGAGCGTGCTGACGGAGATCTGAAAGTCTAAGTCTCTTTGGAGGCATACCAAACAGTATCTACCTAGAACATGACTGGAATGTTCCATCTTGGCGTGAAGACTATTTTAGGTTAAAGACAACTAAGAATCAATGGACAGCCAAGGATCTCTAGTCTCCCCTTCCTTAAAAATGAGGCACAAATTTCTCTTAGTGATAGTGTCCCTCTGGAGTAGGCAGAGGAAAAGGAGGCACACCAAAATACGTCTGTGAGCCTTCTAAAGAGCAGTTATGGTCCTTCATATAGCCCCACCTCCTTTTCCCACAGTGCACCAACCCTAGCAGCCCTTACTCCATTTCTCTCATGTGGTCCCATCTCCACACTTCACAAGCCTCTGTAAAACAGTACATAAGCTCCTGGCTCAAACTGTTTCTTTGGGTTTTCACTTTTCTATAAAGCCCCGTGCAGGCAAAAACACAAGTATCAATAAACATGTTATTATGTTAATCTATCTCTTGTAAAAATTTATTTGCAGGCCCACAGAAACTAAATTCAAGAGAAGTGGGAAAAAAAATAAAAGTTTTCTCTCCAACATCTCCAATAGTTCTTCATGACCTAGAACTATTCAATAAACACCCATATAGGCCTAATCCAAACAAAGAGAGTCTACAAATATGAAAATATCAAAACACATAGCAAATTTCACACTGAATACCAAGGCAAAAATGCAAAACACCTCGTAACATTTCATAATGACTACATGTTGAAATGATCATGTGAAGGATATACTGTAATTAAATAATACAGCCCCCATAAGTTTCACATGTGCCTTATTACAACTACTTGAAAATGTGGAATTATGCATGACCACATAGGTAACTCTCACTACAGTCCTACTGGACTGCACTAGTCTGTTCAACTGGAACCGGAGTCGGGTTTTGTGGAACTTCTACAATATGAGCTCTGTTCATTCTTTCCAGGTTTCCACTTGTTATTCCTCAGGAAAACCATTCCCTGGATCACTGGCTGTCGACATTAACTTCTTAAATCAGCCCTATTACTTTTTCTCTACTCTCCCTCTGAACTTCTGTCTTCCTAATGCAACAAAGTCCAGCTTCTCTAGAAGTGGCTTCTCCTTCAACAGCCCACGGATTTCTTCCCTCACTGTAGCCTCTCAATAATCCATACCATGATCAAAGAAAAACTGGGATCTCCTACATATAATTTCGAGGGCAGAAGATGAGAGGATAGCAGTAGGGAAAAGGGAGGCCAACACACTGTTCACGCCGAAACCCTGACGTAAATCCCATCAGGACCAACCACCAGGCCCACACACTAGGCTGCTTGACTGTTCAGCCAGTCAATCCAGAAACAACGACTGTTTCTCCTTACAGATGGTCCTCACATCCTCAGCTTCCCAGCTTCCCATCATCCCATCTCCTTTCTAGAGCGATGTAGGACCACTGTAAAGTCTACCAAACGACTCTCACTCTGAGACAGGAGACAGTCTCTAACTGGTATACAGAGCCTTGCTCTTGAAAGACAGGAGACATTTCTCTGGACCTGGTCTTTGCTGGTCTCGATCACGTCTCAATA